GCTTTTAATTTTTTATACTTTCATGCAGTTAAGAGATGGTTATGATCCACTGTTGCACAACAAGTTAACAATCTCTCCTCCCACCTCCCCTCCTCACCTATCACAGGATGCTCTTGCATGTTTACATTTATTTTCAAACCAAACCATGTATGGCCCCTTTAATTTGAATAACTTATACATGTATGTGAAAAAGTGGATTTGTCACAGTTGTCAGGATCATCAGGATGAATCTGTGCCACTCTAGCTGTGGACTTGGATCACCATCAGCCCTGAGGGATTGTGTTGCCCGGTTTGTCTCCAGCTGAGGATCTTTGTTGCATGTCATTTCCTAATTTCTCTTTCATACATGATCTCTCAGCTGTCACAGTCAAATACAGGTGATATTCTGACTCAACCAGCCATGAGACAGGAAGAGTCAGAATATTGTTTGAACATTTTTGTGTTTTCAATAAATTATTTTTAAACTCAACTCAACTCATCTGTATTTATAAAGCCCTTTAAAACAACCACACTGGACATGTAAATCAGTGTTGGAAAAATCTTTTACATTTATGGTTCTGATCACACACAGGATCCTGGACTAGGATTGTAAGACGTGCAGGTAAAGGTGGCAAACTAAAGGAAGAGCCTTTCTATATTGTGTTCCCCACCATGAGCGACACGCACATCTTCAATGCTAAGAACTTTTTACTGTAGCAGATTCAAAGTCTACCATGTCTGTTTGATTTAAAATACACCAATATAAAATATCTCATAGGTTTCCAACTAAATTGATTGAGATAACATTAACAACAATAATATTTAGTATAGAACAGCATCAACTAAAATAATTTGATCATTAAACCCTGTAATGAGACCATTTCACTTTTTTCGATCTGGTGGCTTCTGTCTCTTTGTGGTAACGTCATATCACTCAAGGCACTGTTTGTTATCTGATTTGTCTGCTTCTCCATGCAGAAGTCCACTGTCTCTTCAAGTAGACTCTCAACTAAATACATCATCCAGTTCTCAGAGAATCTTTGCTGAATGATACAAAACAAAGAAAGTCTTCAGGTGATGAGGGCTAGGGACCAAAAACAGGATTTTAGTGAAGGAGACCAATCATTAGGTTGTCTAGATTATCTAAAGCTGTTACTGGATCTTCCCTATGATATTTTCTTATCAAAACCATGGATGTCCTAAACAAATCTTTAAGTAGCAAATAAAAATGACATAATGATGGTTAAATTTAATGACATAAAAGCCCCTATGAGGAACTTTTTGCTGTAGTTGTTCATGGTGCCTATATGAACACTGTGATACCCCTTGTTGATCTTGTGAAAGTTAGCGTTTGTACAAAAAAAGTAATCCGGCTTTGCTTAATATTGAGACATGCTTGCTGAAGAGAAAATGATAAAAAAAAGGGATCTTCTTCACCACAATGTTTTAATCTCCGTATTATTCAGGTGATAAGGCACACTAAATTATATGGCACACTGTGAATTAACGTGTCTTTGTTCACACATAAGGCGCACCGGATTGTAAGGCGCATTAAGCATTGATTGGTTTGTTGTTGCTAGCGTGTACTCTGGGCCCGGACTGCCTTACATGAATGCACTTCTAGCTCAGACATTACAGCCAGACAATGTTGTAGACTGCTCAGGGGTCCTGTTATGGGGCCGATCAGATAGTGACGTAGTGTACTGTAAAGCTCTGAATATCCATTGGGCGGAGTGGCTTCGTTGCTTACCAAAGTCGTACCTACATATTTCGACAGATTTTTGAGCGCATTGTACCACATAAAATTGGTCAGTAAGCAACAAGTAATCATACATAAGGTCAATTTTTGGGGAAAATTTGAGGCTTTCAAGTGCGCCTTATGGTATTTTCAATAAAACCTTGTTAGGTAATCGTGACGTTTGTTAAAATGGAGTATAATAAAAGGGATTCACTTACTGTTGCCATGTATCATACTAACACAGGCTGACATACTACCCATCAGAATCAAAACTCAACCATACATTTAAGTCTGGCAGAGCTTTTGGAGGCAGTTTGGTGTTTTACCCGAGGACACTTTTAAACACTGAAACAACACAAAAAAAAAAAAAAAGTGAGATATGTGGATGAGGGAAAGCAGTTGATACGGTCCTTCAAACAAGACTTTAATTCCTTTTCCCTAAGCACTAAAAAACAAAAAACAAAATCCCACTCTCTCACTCCACTTGTTGCTCAGAACCCTTCTTTCTTCTGCAGGCAGGCCTTAGGCTTAACTGGGCCCACCTGACCGCTTCCTCAGATGCCCTGCAGCCATAAAGTAAAGTAAAGCTCAAGCCGAATCTGAAAGTTCTGAGGTCTGCTGCTGCAAAATGTTTAAAAAGAGAAAATGTTGGCCCGAGGAATCCTGCAGTCCAGTCTGATAACATACTACCTACACTTTAGATATGACCAAACTCAGACTTATGTAGGAGTGTGAAAATTTTTTCCTGTAGCAAGAGGGATTGGACTCACAGGGTCTCCAAGCTTGACTGAGAGAATGAAGAAAGGAGAGAATCACCTTAGGTAGATACAGAGCATGGGCTACCGGTCTGCTTATAAACTGCAAAATTGGAAGAGGGATTCACATCAATAAAACTGGTTTGAATAACATGCCATTAATTATTTCAACCATATCAGTTTTATTTGACTCACTGTGGTTTTACTTTACAACCTACAATAATCAAGGAGAGTCCTGATGCTATTCACACCACATCCATGTTAGCCTATAGGTGTCCCTATGTGTAAAAAACTGAAATGATCTACAAAGTTATAACATATTTCCTTACCCTTTTGATTATAATTGAGATTTTTTTAACAACTACAAGATGGGCTGTGTAAGTGTGAAGCTCACTCTGTTAGTGGTGACAAAAGCCTTAATATACTGTATAAAGGGGCTTAATTATATCCGACAACTCTTCCTCCAGTAAATTCCGGCTTCTGGATCAGTGGGTCCAATGAGAAAGCTGATCATAAAACAGTGAATCGTACTTTATCTACCTTGTTTTTTTTATTATCATGGTAAAACTTTTATACTTTTCTATTGCTAAGATAAAATTCATTTGATTTGACAGAAGAAAATAAAAAAACACCTTATATACTCATCACCTTTCCCCACAGTTTGATCAAGTGTAGCTTCTTTCAAATACAACGATTATTACTGTTCTTGATTTATTACCAAGTATAAAACCCTCAAATAGATTCAAGTAATGAAAAAAAAAAACTCCAATAAATGCTCTGCTTTGACAGAATTCAGCTTTTTCTCAACAAGCATTCTTTCTTCTGTCCCCATTTGACCTCTATAAAACTTTCTTTGCAGAAAGGAGGAAAACTTCCAGATGTTGTTCTGGCTTTACTCCCCCCATTTTACTCTTGGCTTCTTTTCTTTACACTGAGAATCAATTTTTTATGAGTCCTGCCAACCCAACAACCCATTTGCTATTTGGAAACGCAATGCATGATTGAAATGCTACGTGAGAATTGGTCTTTTCTTTTTGTGGCCGACTGACGTCCAACAGTGCCAGTGAGCGATCTGGATCCTAAAGGCAGCATTTCACACACACTGTGAAAAACATCTCAGACAGGAACGGGAATCATGCTTTGATTTAATTTGGCTGCATATAGAGATAATAGGTAAGAGGCACAGCATCTTTTCTTAAAGGGGACAATACAAGCAGTTGTTGATTTACCACTACAGCAGTGGTGTGTGAAAGTGCTGCTGGCCCTGAAACTATTCCCCTCCTGCTCCTCCAGCAAAGGTAGTTTCTTTTTTTCCCTTCCTACAGCTCAACATGTTAGCTAATCCTTTCTGGGTTATCTCTCAAACACAGACACCAGGAGTCGGCATGCGTGTTTGTGTGAAATGAAGATTAGTAGCATTAGCGGTTACGGGGTTTGACCGTTTTTAACTAAAATCCTGAGCATTTACGCACGTGTTTATAAGCTTAGACCGTGAGGCTGTACATATTCTCTAAGTGTGTGTACCCAGGTGTGCCCTGAGTTGTTCAAGTGCGAAGAATATGAAGGCCAAGTAAAATCACCTGAGAGAGCCATAGAAAAGCTGAATTGAAGCATTTTGAGCAGATTTCTGTGCTTTTACCCTGCAGTTACTTGCATTCTGATTCTTTTTCTGCGCCTCTGAAATATTCTAGCAACACAGCCAACAGCTGTTGAAGATGTCATGCCATGGAGTTTCGTTTGTCATAGAAACTGGGCATTTCTGAGAAGTGTTACAATCGATGAAGCAGACGTCTTTCAAGGTTTAAGTACCTTCTTGGAGCATCTATTTCCTTCTTAAAAGCTCACATATTTATCGTATCTTAATGATTCAAAAGAGTGTGAACAATGTTGAATGTGCAAGAAAGACGGAGAGATGGAGCAAAGCAGCATGGGACTGAGGAAGTGGCGGACATGAGAAATTACATCAAGTTGATAAATAGCAAGGAGCAATATTTTCAGTCAGTTTTTCAACTTAAAAATACTCTGCTCACAATTCTAGTCAAATAATTGTGGGAAGTAAAAGAATATGAATCAAGCTCAAGTGCCTGTCTTATTGAAGTTTAGAAAGAGAAGAGAAAGGAAGTCTTCACTTTGTCCTGATTTGAACTGAGCACAAATTTCCAGGTTTGAGTAATGAAGCCAGTGAGGGAGTGCAGAACACTGCAGGTCCTGAGTGTGAACAGGACACTGCCTCTTTACACCCTGCCTTCCTTACTTTAATTAGACTAAGAAGTTGGAGACAGGAGAAAATGATGTCTGACATACCAGCTGGATGTCACATTTATTATCAACATGATGGGCAAACAATGTGCTGTCATAATGCTAAGACACTTTTTATTCAGTCATCTTTTGTACATCAACTTTTTGCATAAATGTATTTTTAGTAGAATTTTTTGTGGCGTGTGGTGTATTTTGTGGACCCAGAAGCAGACTCATAGGCAGATAGCAAATTAAAGATGTATTTAATGTCCAGAACACAGGGAAAAAAGGCACGAGGGAAGTCCGGTTTGGCTGGCTGACTGTTGTGTGGGCTGGAGACACTGTGGAGAAGCAGAAGAGAAAGAGGTGAGAAGACATACGAGGAATCACAGGGAGCAAAAATCATGAGCACTTAGCCGAGGAGAAGGCTGGGAGAAGCATCTGTACCGCTCAGGAGCGAAAACAATACTCAGGCGCTGAGACTGAGGGCTGCTGGCTTCTTTAAGGGCCTTGATTGCAGATGCAGTGCAGGTGTGGAGTCTCTCTCAGCCTCAGCGACCGGGGAGAGGGAGCGTGCTCTGAAACACAGTCAAGCCAGACCAGGGAAACAAGGAAAAACAGGACGTTCAACCAAAATAAAACAGGAGATGGAGGTGTCTCACCACAATTTTTTCTTCTAATGACCAAGACTACATATTCCAATTCTGTAAAGTGGAATCTTGAAATCCAGTAATAATTATATGGCTTTACACCAAAGAACAACTTTCCAATTGAGATCATCTGACAAGTAAAAAATAAGACAATGAAAGACCTAAAACACTAGGCACCAGCAGTATTGGTATCTTATATCTTTGTTTGCGTGAGTCAGGCTCTATCCCTTACTTCATGTTGGGTAAAGCTTCTTTATGACTTTTTTTTTAGCTGGCATTATTTATAACTGTCACTATGGCCACTAATCATTGTTCTTAGTTTAAAAAAAAAAAAAGAAAAAAAAAAGGTGTCAACCCATTATTTTTTGTCTGAAACCTGGAAAATTTGGGCTTTTGGTGATAAAATAACTCAGACTAAAAAACACTTTTTTCATTTTTTGCTCTTGATTTTGTCACTGCTTCGAGAGGTATCATTCATTCATAAACTTTCATCCATATGCTCCCTGTATAAGCTTATTGACTTGGCATTTTTGAGTTAAGTCAGTCTTAAAAAGTGTGCCAGACTGACTAGAGCAGTATTTTCTTCCTCAATGTGTCAGAGACTTTGATCAACATTTACGTAGATATAAGCACCAGATCAAACCCTTGTACAAGCAGATTAATCCCATACATCCTCAGTGCTACTGCCTGTACTTTGTGCCCCTGTCCTACAAGCTTGACAGCAACTAGACACGATTAAAAAAAGAGTCTGACAGCCCCACTGTGCTGTTAGAAATGGACGTCTCAATAATACAGCATTTTTCCACTTGCATATTTGTTTTTCTGCCAATAGGCTTTCGCTTTGTCTGAGAAATGTATTGATGTTACTTCCCCTCAATTTATGAAGCAATGCACAAAGAATATTGTTTTCCAACTCACAAAATATGGATGAAATGACAACAAGCCGTTGGAGAGAACGGCCTGAGAAAGAACAAAGAAGGGAAGTGAGTTCACAGGAAGAAAGGTTTGGACACGCTATGGTTGAAAGTACTGACTTTGACGATAACAGAAAGTGATTTGGTGGTATGCTTCTCTGGGCTGCCGAGAAAGTTGAGTGTGTGCCTGAATGTGTGTGATAGAGATAAGGTGAAGAGCGGCAAGCACGAAACCAGCAAGTAGACAGATCCCATGGGTAATTCAAAATTGATTGTCATTGTGAGAAAAGTCTAGAACAAACACATTCTCTTTTCTTTTATTTATACAAACATGATAGATGCCTGCCTTTTTCTTTATGTGAGTCTCTCTCTGATGACTGAACTGTGATTTTCTATAAGTTAAAAAGAGTTGGTTAAAAAACACCTGTTAAGTTTTCTATACTTTCAAACTGTTATATAAAATAACAGCATTGGACTGAACTGCAGCAAAGTTCAATAACTTCAAATATATATAGTGAACTAACATCTGCACGTTTTATATGGTATATGAACAGCTCATTTAAATTGTGGCTCCAATCTGACCAATACGCTTCTATTGGGACCTTACAAAGACATACCCACCCCAACCTGGGAAGTCTGTTTGACCGCCCAACTTTTTTCTTCATTCTGCTCTGTACAAATTCACTAAGTCTCAGAAATGTTCTTTTGGATGTGAAGAAAACTCAAAGCTTCACAAAGACACAGACACAAGAAAACAGTGGGAAGTTTTTGTGTTGTTAGGCAACAACAAAGATGTTTGTTTTGGTCAGACCAATAGAAGCTGGATTTGCATCTCAAATGATAGTAAACAACAGGGAGGCTCCATCTGTTATTACTGCGGCACCAACACATGGTAGCATGGCTAAATGGAGCAGTAAGGGCTAATGGCCATCCTTAGACTGGCATGACTTTCTGGTTGTGTCCTGACTGCAGTGCTGTGTAAATAGTAACACTCACAGGTGTGTCCAACTTCATGTAAGTGGAAGCAATGGAAAGTGTTTCAGCCAGAAGCTGAAAAGGATTAGAGTCTGGGTTTATTCATTTTTCCAAGAATCAGAGTCATAACTTTATATGAAGGATTACTTTTTAACAAATCAGAACAAAATATACTGTTGTGTCAATTTGTATAAATTAAAGTTGTTGTTTTTTTCACTGTCTTCCACTTTTTTTTTTCTTTTTACTTCATTTTTAAATTACAAGTCATGCAACTATGTTTACAGGGGACTGATCATATTTTAACCATATTGATCTGTTATGTTTAATAGCTAACTGAGCAGTGATCCAACTTATTCACTGACTTCATTCCAGGCAAGCTTTTTTTTTTATTATTCTGTCTCAATAATAAATATCATAAAATTCAGCTTGCCATGAATGACATCAGGATAGGTTTACCTTCTATTCTTCAGACACATGAACCTCTGCTCATCCATTGTTGACAAACGTCAATGAGGTATCTCTGTGCTGATTGGTGTGAATTATTTGCTTGAGTTTAGAGTTTTCTAATACCACTCATGAGTGACGTATTGAACTCTTCTCATGTATTTTTTTGTTGTAAATATAAATAATTTTTCAATCAATAAATCCATCAATGGGTTAAACCAAGAGATAAGTGGTAACAGGTAGTGGTGGGTGGATCATTCCACAGCATCGGTACTAATGTTGGTATTGTTGTTGATCGATACTTGCGTGACGAGAACACCCTGTACTTAAATGATTGTAAAGGACCTACAACCTCTTTCTTTTTGGATGTTGCAAACACTGTTGTGTTAACAACTGATATGTTGACATCAAGAGCCACAAAGGCTTACTTAACCTTCTCATGCCATATCATTGATGACGACTGGCAAATGTGTAGGTCCTAGAAACCAGTAGTTTTTCAGAAAAACACAGTGCTGACAACTTTTGCTTGGAATTTAAAAAAATAGTCACTGACGAATGGGACATAAATGCTTAAGTTAAGGCTGTAATAACAGATAATAGTGGTCTTTCACCACAGCACAAATGCAACAGTGAAGCTCATAGAAATCAGAAACAACTAAAGTTCCCAGAACTGATACAATCAGTTGAAACAAGGTGGAATTCTGTGTTCGACAGGTTTCAGAGACTACTTCAGCAAAAGGACGCTGTAACTACAGTACTTAGTCTCCTTGGAAACAGCTCATTCTGCTCGAGTGAGGAAGATTGGTCCATAATTAGTCTCTCCATTGATGCCCTGCGACCATTTGAAGAGGTGACATGAGAGTTACAACTGAAAAACATGTTTCAGTGTCAAAGTGGTTCCCCTGGTTACACTACTTCAAAGAATGACCGCATCTCATGAGTCCTAAGCTAGCAAGCTGAGCTGTCAGCACAATGCCAGCACCATTTTAGAGGTATCAAAACCTTTTATGGTCTTGCTGTCAGCACCTACCTGGTGATAAGATTTAAAAACTTGGGGTTTCGTGACATGGTAAATGCTGAAACTTTGAAATAAGACTAATTACTAAAATGCAAATAGTGACCCAGACCTCATTCCCTTCAGTATCAGTTCCTGAACCAATCACAAGCTCTGCCACCAGCTCTGTCTCAGCAATAGCTCCTGCAACTCCCTCAAGCTCTCCTGCTGGGGCTTCTTCATCCCAACCTGCAGCAAAAGGTGGGATATGGACAGAGTTCGGCACTCAAGTCCTTGCATCCTAGCAGCAGCGCACAACTGGCTCTGATGACTTAATTGAAATGCGCCGGTTCTTGAAGGAGAAACCAATTCCAGGGGATGCAGACCCACTTCCTTAGTGGAAAATGAATGAGCCAACATTTCCCTTTCTGAGCAAATTTTGCCAAGAAACACCTGGGAGTAATTGTGACATCTGTACCCGCAGAAAGGATTTTCTCTAAAGCAAGACAGTGAGTTTGAGAAGAAGTGCAATAAAAGGGAAAAACATTGTTTCTGAACAAAAACCTATAAATCTGTAGTTCTCGACATGAGGACAGGGCCCGAAAGTGGACCATTCAAGGAATAATTGCTTGGACACAGGAGTGCTTTAGGGGAAAAAGCTAAAAGTTGTGATTGAGAGCCAATAGTTGTTTATGCTTTTGTTTAATTATGTGCCCTTTTATTTTTTAATTTGCACTGTTGACTTTATTTTCCCCAAACTATTGTGTGTAATTAAAGGGAATGTTTTGTTATATTGTTTGTATTGTTATATTTATATGTTGTTCTATTATGCACAAAAACTGAACAAAACTCTGAACCAAAAAAAAGCAAAATTTAAAGATAAAACCTTTCTCAGTTCTCAGGTAATAATTTTGTGCAATTTTGTTCATGTTTGCAAATTGAGTGAGTTGATAAAAAGCATTTTTTGTTTGTCTAAAATCTTTGTCCTCTGTTTTATTATGATTGTAATCATGATCAACTAATTACAGGAAAAACAATAAAATCATTCAACAATCATGAAAATTTAAGTTTACATTCAAAATGATACAAATAAACTGAAAACCATGAGCTGTAATGATGATAGCAGCAGAGTTAAAAGTTGTGACTTTTCCCTCATCTCTGTTAAAAGGTTCTGACGGGGAGCTCTACTTATGTCTTGAATCTTTGGACTTCTTTTGATGTTATTTTCAGCTCCATTTTGTTCCACTTTCTGGTCACAGTGGCAGTGGGCTAAGCAACTAACCCCCCATCCCCCCCACCCCACATTGAAAAGTACATTCTGAATGTGCTCTCTCATCCCTGTATTTGATGGTTTGGCCTTAACCTGCTTTTAGTTCAGATACGTTTGTTTGTGTGATCTCTATCAGCCACTCTTGTTTATTATGTCTGTCAATGTGTGTATGCGTGTGTCCTTCATGGGTGAAGGTTAAACCAGTGTGTGTGTGTGTGTGTGTATTTACTATTGGACAATAACTCTCATGCTTGTACTGAAGCAACCTGATTAAATAGTGAAATAGTGGTTGGTGTGTGAGTGTGTGTGCTCTAAATTTAGTTATTTGCAGCTTCCCTGAGAGGCAGCACAGGGGACTAACACACGAGTGGAGTCATACTACCTCTTTGCGCGCGTGTCTCTTTTTGTTGTCTTACTCCTTCACTTAATTTCTGCCTTTTAACAGTTCTATTGTGTGCATTTTTACATTTTCTCGTTTTTTATTTACCCCCCCCCCCCCTTCCCCCAATGCCAGCTGTCATCTTCTCTCTTTCCTTTATTTTGTCCCTTTGCTCACCTTCTTATGTCTTTGCCTCTTTGGCGTCTCCTCGTTTCTCCAGCTTAATCCGTTTTGCTCCATCGTTTCCTCTGTGTCTCGTTTTCTCAAACATGGCTCTCCCCCTTCTTCCTCCTGTCTGCAGTATAAACATAATAAGTGTTAGGAGAGAGGAATAACCCCTGTTTGTATAAGCAATTCAAAGGGAGGAGGTTGTAGAGAGAGACGAGATAAGGAATAACAGTACTTTAATACCAATACTATGTTTTACGAGTTTATGACTCAGCCATAAAGTTTTTTTTTTTTTTTTCTTTCAGGTTAGGTTTGCTGTTTTCTTTTCTCATTTTGGTGTAAGAAAAGTAAAGCTCTCCTGAGATCTGAAAGATATGAGGAGTCAATTCAAATGCGACTTTACCACAGGCAAACTTTTTCCTATGAGACTAAGTAATGTGACCCACAAGACTCAAGCACACAGCCATGTGTGCTTGAGTCTTGATGAATTTCAGATGAATGTGGCTTTTTACGAGAAATTAAAACACCTGCAAAAATTTGATTTTTGCAGTCACCCAATCAGAAGGTTGAGGGTTTGTTCACAGGTCCCACTCACTATACACCAGAGAGTCCAAGACACACAACCCCAAAAGACTAGACAGAAGACTTGAGAAGCACCATAAAAACACAGTCTGTTTACCATTTCTCGTGCTGCTGTGAGTCCCAATGTGTAGGTGAAAAGGCGTAGTGATGGAATAACCAGCTGTTGCTGAGTTGCACTGTGTATGAGGCTTTTGTCTTGGGTTTGAGTCTAGTATGCATATTGATAATGCTAACAAAGTGAGTACCAGATGGTTTCCATGTAACTGTGTACATTATCCTAGCATTTTAAACATGATTTTCAGCAGGGAGATCTGATGCTTGGGTTAGGGTTAAGACTTTGTTACTCCACTTTTCTCTTGCCATTAGAGGAAGTCTGAATTTCTCCACAGTGTTATTTAAGAGATGTTTACTGAGCAGTAAACTGCAGCTTCAAGTGCTACATGTTACTAAGACTTTTATTCATCTTCAGTTGTGCTCCAAAGGGATGTGTCTCTGTGTGTTGATACCCGAGTCTGGGCTACAGCTCGCAGGCTTCCAGTGCCAGAGTGGGTCAGAACACAAAACTAATGGAAAAGAAATCTGCTGTTATGCTTTTCAATGGCTGGTGTAATGATGTGAAATTGATTCAGTAAGGCTGGTTTTGATTCATAATGACTTCAAAAGAAATTGTAAAACATTGATAGAGCAAAATTTAATCGAAATCCACTAGCCAAAGACATTACTATCAGCAAAAGCATGCCATCAGCCTGGTTAAGTGTCTGGCTAAGTCAGAAATCATGATTTCTACCTAAATACACTGACATTTACACACTGTAGATGGTCTCTAGATCTGTGTGACAGTAGTGAGCTGATAGACGACATTAGGAAGGAGTCAATATACCACAGATAAATCAAGGATACTAGTCACTCAATGTTTATACTATTTGGGGTCATGTACAGACCCCAATACTGAATCTTCCAATGGAATTTAGAAATTTTAATTGTTAATTTCTTGGAAGAAGTTCTTGTTTTTGGCAAGTTTTATCTGAAAATGACAAATTTTTATAGACTTATCAGGTGAATGTGGCCTAAATTAAGCCTAACACAATACTTTTTGGCTAAAATAATACTAATAATATTTGTTCCTCCTTGAACATTCACTTTGTGGTGGACGAGGGGTTTGGGGGCTGAGTCGTGTAGGTTATTAGTTTCTCATGAGTCTCCCAGGTCAAAGTGGTTCTAGGAAAGGGGTCAGACCATAGACTGTATATACTATAGACAACTTGGATCTGCCTTCCGCCATTATACGAATATGAATGATGTATATTCTGTGCAATAAATTTTTTAAGTTTGTCCACAGCTCCACAGGAATTGCTGGAGGAGACAGGATTTATGACCTATACTGCAGCCCACCACCAGAGGGTGCTGTTCTTGCAGTGGCTTCACCCAGCGAGGAGGTAAACAGTGTTCATTCCATATACAGTCTCTGGGTCAGACCTAGACAGGTTAAAAAAGAAAAGGTTGCGCTTTCAGTAAGTCCACTTCTAATAATACACAATTAGCGCAGTCATAAAGCCTTATAACTGCATCTTTAAGGCTTAATAACAGTCCTTTATAAGTGATTATAAGTATTCCTAACAGCCTATAGTCATACTCATGAAGTGTTATGAGCACTGAGCATAATCAATTTAAAGTTTTGGTTTATAACGCAAAGAAACTACAACAAATGGCGGCTACCAGTGACTTTTTTTGTCAAGTTTGGTCTCATTTGGAGGAGAGACATGGGGGTCAACCCAGAGTTCTCTAGAGGTGTTTTACATTCAGTCTGGAAAGAGCTGGCAAGCATTGCTGGAGAGACCGTATTTTGGAGCAACTTGGACAGCCTGACGCCACTGCCACTGAGCTCTGGATAGACTCAAGAAAATGGATGGATGAATTGACGGATGGTGCAAACTTATCTGGATGAATGGCAGAAATGCTGTTCCATTCGCCAAAATACACTGGCATATTTCAAATAACTTGGGCTGTAAATGCGTGTGTGTTGAGAAAGCATTAACAATTCTTGGTAAAATATTTTTCTTTTTTTGTCTTTAATGTGTCTTACTGCAATACTCTTCACTCAGTGGTATTTTGTAATGTACACTTGAACATTTTTGCACTTAGCCATTTATTGGCGATTGAAACAAAAATATCCAAAAATCTTATCTGCAGCTTTATCTGCACCAGCCCTTCACACTGAGTTGTTCTGCAAGTGAGTCATAATGGGCCCAGAATATTTCCAAGTACTCCTCTTTGGCTCCATACTTGCAAGTTTGACACAGTGATCCTTTTAGCCGCCACAATAAGAGAAGCCAAAAATAGCTCTAGAGTGAAAATGTGAACTACAATATGGCAGCACAACAAAGCTATCCTGTTTGTATGTCGGCTCTTTATGTTGATTTTGAAAATGGACTGAGCAGATAACCTAAATTAATGCATTTCACTGTTAAACATGCAGACTGAGTACATTTATTTTTGCACAGTGTAGTTTATTCTGATGGGGTCAGTGTGTGTTTTATTAATGACCCCCATATGCAACCTTGATTTAATGAATGCCTGGCATTTATCTTGTTGAATTGTTGTGTCATCTGAAGGCCTCTGTGTTCCTCTTGAAAAGATTTTAGTAAAATGTCCTAGTTTTTCCCTGTCACGCTGTCTCACTCTGCCTCTTTTCCTCACTTTTTCACATTTCCTATTCAGCCACACAAAAACACACTCCTGCCGCCCCCCAAAAAGGAGAAAAAAAAATGCTGGAAGTTTTTGAATATAGCATTAAGTCCTGTGGGTGTTTATCTCGTTCAATACTTGGACGACAAGGCTCTCAAACCTTAAGGCTAACATGAAGTCTGTATACGGAAAAACACGCACGCCCGCAGACATACACTTACACCCACTGTCTGCAGAGAAACACAGAGCCAAGCTTGGCTTCTATGATTGTATATTTTCTGATCTGACATAAATGCACATAATTCTGCTTTCAGTATCACAGACAGCTTAACTGATTCAAGCAGCTCTCCTAAAAATAAGGTGAATTGATTTGTCTTTGTAATGAGAAGCCTGCACCATCTCACCATTGAACGCCCTGCATTAAACATAACCACTCTTATGTTTTATCAGACATTAAAAAAGGAAAGAAAAAGAAAAGTTTAATTGCAGAGCACACTGACTCTCTGAAGCACTCATGTCTCTGTGAAGTTGCCAGGCAACCAATGGAAACCACTTCACAATGAAGCACAAATGGATGGCTTAATTATTTTGTCATAAATGGTGACTAAAAGGGGCTCTGGAATAAAACATTTTCCTTCTCTTTTCAGATACAATCGAGGATGTAAAATGTGTGTCTGAACAGGGCCTGTGGCAGCTTTGGGATAACGTTAGTCTTCCCCTGAACGACGTCTAAGAGCAAAAAGGTTTATGTTCTACTGATGTAGTGATACATTACCAGGGTGATTAGGTGGAGGGCATACAGCCCACTCTTAAACCAGCTGAGAGCTCACCTCCTGTAATGTACAGACCCAAGTGCCCCGATGCTTACCTCACGTTGAATAATGGCATGAAACCACTTTATTACCAAGCTGCCTATGTGAAGTAGGAGAATCTGTTTGCAACTAACAACAATCATGTTTTACAGTTAGTGCTCTGCTTTGTGATAAGTGGTGTATTCGCTAATTGTGACAGAGTGCCCGTCATTCCCCAACTGGCGCAGGTCTCTCTCTCATGGCCTGAAAGTGCCAGTGCCAGGATTGCGCACAGAGTGCACCTGTTCCTCCCGGAGTCAAGCTCTGTTAAACTGTTACGTTGTTTCCCTGCAGGTGTCCCACAGTCCTGCACTCCAACAAACTGTTTCCCTTTTTACCTGGACTCTTTTCTCCCTATGGTAAGCGTTTGAGGGTGGACACTCAGCAACTACACGCCACACACACACACACACACACACACACACACACACACACACACACACACACACACACAAACGCTTACCTGCTGCCATCTTCTGAACCAAACCGATCCCACAATAAAAGAGCGCAAGGTGACGGGCTTTTGGGGGTCATGTGACCGCTGGACAATACCATAATAGCTCATTTTTGATATTTTTGTCTTATTTATTGTGTTTTCAATGATTAAGATCACAGCTGTATGGAGGGCTATTAGTGCCTTTTGTCCATGTTAAAATAATGAATTGTTTGTTGTATTTTACCTATTATGCCTTGAACCCCTGTAATTGGTTTATGGATGTGCCCAGGGGCATTTATGGGTGGTATTTATTGAAAATACTGAAATTTCGACTATGCAATTATTTTTTGTCCCGAACGAACCTGTGACACTAATGCTAACATAGAAGCAGACCATGTGTCTCTCAGTGATAGATCACTTACGTGTGGTGCTCTGCAAAGACAGAAAATGCAAAGTCAGGGTCTGCCTCATGTTAATAAAAAGTGATCATACTACCACACCAAAATCAGCCAGTTAAACTGTACAGATATGGACATATTTGAGGGGAAGCTTGATAAATTG